TTTATATATTAAGTCAAATATTCCCCACATTGTAGGTGATATTTGTTTTGTGGAATACGTACAACTATCGATAATATCAAAGATATCATCATATAAATCTGATGAATAGATATTATTACGTGAAAAATTAGTCATTATTTAAATAAATTTTGTATGTATACATAAAGTAATTTATTAATATATTTTTCTTACCTGTAATCGTATTTTCTAGTGTATATCTAATAATAGGCAATAGTATATTTTCCAATTGAGCCAAAATTTCTGGTGTACTTTCCAGACTAAGAATCAAGGTAGTTATTGTTTTAAGAACACCCGCAGCAGCCATTGTTTTTTCGCAACCATCATATGAAGGATCATAAATGTCTTCATTTCCCGGAACTGCAGGAGCATTCTGATAATCTTGCATAATTCGTAGGAATGCATTTCGCTGTGTTGTATATCAAATGTTTGTATTAAATTAATTTTTTCTTTGTTTATCAAATTTTACTAGGAAAAATATTTAAAATTTAAAAATCATACTAATTGTTCACATAGTTGAATAGCGAAAGGACTTAATTCCTTGGAAAAAGCTTCAACAAAATCTTCCATTACACTCGCAAGTGTATCAGTATCAATTTGATTCGTTAGATCGAGAAGTTCTTTTTGCACCAGAAATAGGCATATAAATTATAAATTTGAAAAGAGTCATTTTCATAAATTCATGTAGCTCTTTGAATACTTATTGAGCAACTATTGAGTAACTAAAACAAAAATAAGATACAAATGTAATAATTACGTTGCATAACCATTGGTATATTAGGGATTAGTGCGGTTCTTACTAAATAGACAATAAAGATTAAAAAAAAAAAAAGGTACGTTGAACAAAATAATAAGAATAATATATATTACCTGTTTCATGTCGTATCATGCTTTGCAAAGCCAAACAAGCTTGAACTTTTACCGGAAGTTCATCATCACTCATACATCTAGTAATTCCTTGAAATGCTATGGCTAGATTTGATTCTTGTTCAAACTCCAAACTGTCAAACTTGATAATCATATCACATGCCTAATATTTAAAATAAGTGATGAAGCTAATTATAAAAAATAAAAAAATAAAAATAAAAATTAATCATATCTCTTTACCCTAGCTCTTAAAAATGGA